TCAGCCAATTATAAGGTAGTAAGTTATAATGGCATGCTATAACGGCGCAGGTGTGCCTCAATCGTGTAAAGCTGCTAATGTGACCGTTTGATAACTATTTCTCCGTGCAATTAGTTTGAAATTGTGAAGTTTTTTTTTCTTTTGGCTTAGTTTAGGAATTTCTTTCAAAGGACTCTTATAAAATATCCGTTGTTATAGGAGCGCAACTGGTCGCCGTTCATAAAGGAAGATACTACAAGCGAGCAGATGGATTGGCTCTCGGTCCAGGCCCGTTCGTTGCTGCATTAGAGTATGCCACTGGGGCTAAGGTTTGTTTTTCGAAGTGCAAGTATCAGGGCTTCTCACCCTTAGGTACCACGTAATAGTGAAGTGAAATGTGATAAATGAAGTTGATTATAACAACGGATGTTATCTACTTTTCCCAGGCGGAAATTGTCGGCAAGCCAGAACCTGCATTTTTCCACATGGGAGCTGCTACACTGGGCAGCGATATCGACCTCGCCAATACTGTAATGATTGGTGATGACGCTAAGGACGATGTTCTTGGAGCAATCAAATCTGGTATGAAAGGTATTCTTGTCCGCACTGGGAAGTATAGAAAAGGTAGGTTCTCCTAGCAATGGTAGCTTCTTCTAATGGACTAGACACATCCCTTTCAGGAGATGAGCAACAAATTCCTCTTGAACGGAGGAATTGTGTCGAGTCATTTGCAGAAGCCGTCGATTTAATCGAAAGCGGAAAGGTTTTATAACAAACTTTGTTTTAATGACATAATTTTTGTAGAGGTAATGATTGACTGGTAATAATGAGCTCGGTGTAGATTTTCAAACATCACTTCACATGCGTTTGAGCTTGTAGAGCCGGTTTGCTCGGTGTGTTTCAATACAGTTTAATAAAGATTCAATCAAGCTGGCATCCCTACAGCACGTGGTTTCCGGATTACCGTATTTGTACCTCTTCAACTGTTACAGGGCTTTTGGATGCAAAGTTCAGTTCTTATAGTATTTAATTAGCAATATTTCCCCCATATTTATAATTGGTCCCGTCGATCACACAGTTCAACTTGTTGCTGCTGTTTTCGGATTCTTCTTAGAGATTCTATGAGGATAATCCTCTTTGTACACTGCTAGCACCCAACGGGGATGTACAGTTGTACACAACCAAACATCTAAAGACACCGGCCCGCAACTTTATTTGCATAGAGACAAAAGTATGTGAAAATCGCGTATCATGGCTGACTATGGACATGGTGTCAGGAAGTTGATCTGAGATGCGATTATGGAAATGGTAACGAAAAGGTAAACTGTAGCTTATTTGAAGACTAATTTTCAACCCAGACTTCTTTTCCATTGATCATAACCTTTTTCGGACGCAAACCGACAGGTGCATGCCCACTGATATTCAGATGTCCCCTTGGTGATGTGGTGCGACATGAAAGATGAAGTTCCAACTGGAATGACAGGACGTGTATATTCAAAGAACACCGTCAAAATAAGGCTCAAAAGTGGCCTACCTTGAATGTGCCGTCCGGATTCTGCTCATGAATGACTATATTACCAGACTCCAATTCTTGTTGGGTGACTTTGGCAATCGCCTCTGCTAGATCAGTATTCACGCCGCCGATTCTGAAAGTGACATACGCTGACTACGTTGTGATTATACTTGCACGCCTATTTTGAACGTCGATGACTGGCTAACTGTTTGAGCTGTCTTTCAGTCTCAGGCCTACTGTTGCAGTTCTTTCTGAGGCTCCTTTCCCTCTCCCAAACACCGCTTCTCGCCTCTGCTAGATCAGTATTCACGCCGCCGATTCTGAAAGTGACATACGCTGACTACGCTGTGATTATAATTGCACGCCTATTTTGAACGTCGATGACTGGCTAACTGTTTGAGCTGTCTTTCAGTCTCAGGCCTACTGTTGCAGTTCTTTCTGAGGCTCCTTTCCCTCTCCCAAACACCGCTTTTCTCTTGTCATCAAATGGTTATTATCCCGAAATAACGATCAATTAGTTGCACCATAATGACTCAATATTCATTCAGCCAGTCACACCTCCATGGTCGTTGACTAGTTGTTTATTCGGAAGGATTGATTGAAATTTTCAAGGGAGGAGGTATGCGCCTGGCTGCTTTCATAGTCCGCGATTCGGCGCGCGATTGAGCGCGCCGGCTGGGGACTACTGGGCCGGCGGTATCGATCAAGATTCAGTTAGAAACAAGGGACGCGCTGGCGGGCAGGATCGCGGACTATGGAAGCAGCCTTTGCGACACTGAACTCAAGTTGGGCTCAACACTAGAAATCCCACTCACGCTGTTCTGGTCGATGCTGAAGTTTCATCTCTTCGACGATCCGACTGTGTATCTGGCGATACAACCTGCGTACGATCCTGAACAAGAATCGTTAAGAACGCTTGAACCTAATTATTTTCTAAAAAACTGAGCGTTATACTTCGCTCAACATTGGCGTCATCAAAGCAATCGCACGGCGACGTTGTTTAAGGTCACGTCTGAAATGTGGCGATTTAGTTCAGAATCATATCGGATCAGAGAGCAACGAATGATTCTCACTTGTTAATCCTCTTGGGCTTCCTCATGCCACCGTAGTAAGTCACTCGAGTATCTGGCCGGCGAAGAATCCTTCTTTTCGGTCTTATTTTTTTCGAACGGGACTGAGGACCACTTCCAAGAAGTTCCGACCCAGTGCTGTCGGGCCTACTTCCTTCACTGGATAAGCTCCTTGAAGGAAAACTGCCATCCGTCGTAAACTGTCTTGCAGTTCCATCGCTAGCGCTGCCAAGAATTGCAGTACCCATTGATGTGTCCGTCAGTTGAGATGAAGTAGAACGTTGTAGTCCAGGGGTAGTCGTTTCTCTCACGAGTACAGGCAAACGACTTTGCTGTGATGAAGTGAAGCCGCTCGGAGTGTTTTGTGCAGGGGTGCCAGTAACACCTGCACTGTCCAGCGAACGCTCTGGGAAGGTCACCCGAATTCCAGCTGACGAGGTTGTATCTGAGGTTGTCCCAATTTGACTGGGCTGACCGAACATACCAGATCGAAATCGATTACCGCTTTCAGCACTCGATGAAGTGCTAACGCCAGGCCGGTTCAACCTGCCAAGTCGAACTCCTCCTGAAGGCTGTGATAACTGGCTTGGGGGCCCGAACAAACCACGTCGACGAGCAATGGCCCTCGCCGTGCGAACTTCTGGTGTATCGGGACCACTAGAACTTGTAGAACTATACGGCGAAATAGGTGGAGCCACTTGCTGATGTTGGTTTTGTTGATAAAGCCTTAAATGGTTTCATTAGCTGCATATTAGATCTTGATGCTGTATGAGCCAGATTTAAGAGAACTTGGGCTGACTGAAAGCCCTGGGCCTGCCAGAAATTGACAGTGCTGTGCTGTACTAGTAGACTCCGATGTCATCAGCTGCAACTTCACTTGAACCTGGCATTGTGGATCATTGGCTGCTTTCATAGTCTGCGATTTGGCCCGCAAGAGCGCCAGCGAGCGAGCGACGGGGGACTACTCTTCCGGTGGTATCGACCATGATTCAATTGTAAACAAGGGGCAAGCGCCGCCCCCGTCCCTCACTCGCTCGTTCGCTCGCTCGCGCGCTCGCGGGCCAAATCGCGGACTATGAAAGAGGCCATTCAGTTATCTGCCTACCTTGTTCTCATGAGTGCTATGCGTCTCTCTATGCTGGCCGTTCTAAATTTGTCACATTCGGGTCTCTAGAAAGTTCGAATCAACTAGAACATTAGGCTTACCGATTACCAGAAGTTGAGCTGTCAGACTGCATGCTCTGGCTGCGCCGCGGATCTGGAAAACACCCTTTTGTTGATAGGGTTGGAAGCTAATCTATTTCAACAGCTAAGCACTTTCGAATAGGTATCGATTTTACGCGCTCATGGTCGATACTTATTCTGAAACATGCTGCATGCCAAACGAGCAGTCTAAAATGTGCAAATAGCTCGGGCTAAGACAGTTTTCAATCAAATCTTACATGTGTCACTTCCGAATAAGTGTCGAGGTTGTGGCTGCAAAAGGAAAATATTACTCCTTTTCACTATTTCGAGTGGCTATTCAAAGATGTTTGCTTGAAATCCAGTAGCCAGGGAGGAAACCGGCCAACTGTAGGTCGCCTCTGTGAAGGGCCATACTATCAAACTCTTGTTTCGTAGTTCAACTCATTAGCAGATTACCAGATGAATTCTTCTCACTAACCTGCACAATTCTGCCAGTAGGTCCTCTGCTCTCGCTTCCTGAAACTCAGGTTTGGATTTCTTATTAGCTGGGACCTTCTTCATAAACGGAGGATCGTGGAATCGCAAAGACATAGGGTCAGCAAACACCAGGGCTTTCATAATCTGTCTTCAAAAATTCATGCATGTCGACTAGCATTTTGTGCAACCCAGCTTCCCAGGTCTCCACGATTGAACGATCCTCCAATCATGGGCAACTAAGTTTCAGAAAAAGGCTGCTATACTGCATGCAGTTTTAGGATTGAACTTGGGAGTTCACCACTGTAGGAGACCTATCGAAATTTGTGGGATGGCTCAAAAGTCGTACCAAATGTTCATTGGTTGTAAGGGATCGACCAAAGCAGCCATATAAACGGTAACAGAGATTGGCCCCAAGACGACGCAACTTCATAACGTCCCATGTCTGTTCTATCGATGCTTCAAGCTGTGTAGGATTTTGCTTAGGGAGTGATACGGCTCTCTAGAGCTCAGGAAGAGATATATCTCGCATTCCCATTGGAGAGCATTATGTACTTCAGGCGCGTTTGAATGTTGAGGGTTCATACCTGTCCTGTCGATGCTGCGGGCTGTGTAGACACCCGACGTCGGAGTAAAGTTCGGTAGAGCTGTCCGAGTGCTGTCTGGAATCGTATGAATGATTCGCAATTTTCACTCAGCAGCATCGCTCTAGATGTTACACGAAGTTAGATAACACTTTCCGATCGAATGGGCTTTGTGTCATTGTATTTAGGGACATCGAACTGCTGCGGGTGGTTAGCTGTGGGGTAAGAGCAATTGTAAGCAAGAAAAGATTTCTAGGACGAAGCCAAGGAACAAATACTTGACCAAGTTTACAGTCCTCAGAAAAAATTCCCCTGCGTCTGACTTGTATGGTAATACAAATAGCTGGAGCAACGGCCGGTTTCCCAGAGTTATGCACAGGACGGTACAGATCTAGGGGTTTCCACATGCCTTTGAAAAAGAAGATGGAAAACGTAGGCGCATTCTGAAAAGGACTACTCCAGACTACTCAGAACTTCTGAAGAGAAGCTGCCTTAACATGTTGAAGTGTTTTTAAATTGGAGCTTCTGACAAGACTCCCAAAACCCCTTAACTGATTTCCTATTAGAACCATAACTAAAAGTAAAAATCTCGCGAGAGAATTACTATGTATAGGCTCCTTGCGATTTTTGACCACTATGTAATTGTGCTGCAGCTCTCCAACGAAGGATCTTTCCTACCTGTTTGTGGCGTTCCAAAAACATTTGTAGGTTCTCTGGGCGCCATCGAAACTGCAATGGAATGCAAATTCAGTAATTTAGGAGATGGTACATCTAGCAAGCATTTTCTATCTTAACTCGACTTTGGCTCACTAAGTTTCCTTCGGTCAGGTACGACAATCGACTACCGTCAAGTTTGAGCTGATCTACGGTGAAGCTGGAGGCTGTGAACCGAAAGCCTGCGGGGGCAACTGAAGCAAAAGTGCAGCCACTCGCTAGAGCAACCCAAACCTCATTACCCTTCAATGTGGTGAGAATGCTCTCAATCAGGAAAAGGATCACCTCAAGCTGAAACGCGTTTATACTTTTACTTCACTAAAACCTTGTGGTACGCCGAAAATAAACAGTGAAGGAGAGTCTCGCTTTCTCTAGGCTTTTTTTATTCTACTTTCTCTGCACAAATGATTCTGACGATAGATGTATTATCCAAAAATTTACTTTCTTTAGCCGTGTCGACTCCTCTGGTGGGTGACATTGTCTCTGAAATAGCGAACTGATTCTGAATTGTCCAAGTTCAGCCTACGATACAATGCCCATGATCTCTAGGAAATTAGAGCTAGACTGTTGATGTGTAGTTGATATTAGTAACATTGAAGCCGGAAGAAGGTCATTTCTTATGGAACAGATCCGGGCTTCAGTACTTGATAGTGATGAATTTAACGGTAGTCGTTTTATTCTAGTCAGAGCCCTCAGTCAGCCTGGCAGCTTCAGAGGAGAGGACCAGTCAACAGCATCTTGAATTTTTTCTAAGTTCCGGTACTACGAGTTGTGATCCTACTTCCAGAGATGATCTCCCTTATTCAACGAGCCCAGGAGAACTGTGCCAGATGCTGCTGGATATAGGTGAATTTCTTCATGTGTCTAAGTATCAAAATGGCATAGAGCTTGATTACATACCTTCGATAGCTGTGTTTACTCCGGGTGTCGGTGACATTGGAACTGAAATATAGGTTTGTAGTGAAAAAACGAATATTGAAGATAAGATAGTCGTTTCCAGCAGAGTTGGGCCTTACTTTCTGCTGCAGTTGTCACACCTGGAGTTGGTGACATCGAATCTGAAAGTATTCATTGATGACATTACGGTTTTCATCAGTCCATGCTAACTTCTACTGTGTATTTTTCATATACATGATTTTAAGTGGGGAGGTAGTACGGTTGAGGTGTATGCTGCGAGCCCTACGGAAACTTTCCTCCTGTCTCACTCATGTACCCGGAAGAAAATTACGTCCTGCTAAAGGGCCTGGAATTTTTCTTTCACGAGCACACGACAATCTTGTTACTCAACTGGGTTACCTGCAAAGAACTTCATTGTACGAGTATGGTACATGAAGACCCATTTACGCACCCGTACAATGATGGTACATTGAGGTTTCTTCTGATTGAGGGGGATACCTTCAACGTTCGAGTTGGGTGTAGATTTCGTGGTCAGAACGTTGTGACCTTTTTTGAACCGAAAACTTCATCAGTTCCCCGTGCATGCATCAAATTGCTTTGAGGAATCATTCTGAAGAAGTGGGAAAGAGCTCGCCCGAGAATGGATTGATATAATATTATGTGGCCACCACTACGTTCAGAGCATGAAAAATATCTCTAAACATTCCACTCACCTTTGATGGCTGTGCGCAGAGGAGATTGGGACTGATAGGTTGGTGGTCCTGATCCTAAATGATCTAGTGTAGTCATAGGAAATAACAGTTTCCACTTTCCTTGCAGTGGGACCTCAATTTTATGTTCCTTCCCGCTACTTCCCTTCGATCATTTTACTTTCTATCCCAATTTCTGTGAAACACAATAGATAGACGTGGTAACTGACTGGAATTGGGTAAACAGAGAACTGGAGATGATATGTTCATATGTGATAGAGGAGGAACGACTATTTTTAATTCACCTGCTCTGGCACGTGCATCCAGAGGTGTCCTTGCTCGTGCAGTTTGGAAAGTATCTTGATCTTGGGGCTGCTCTGGAAACGGCAATCTTATGCCTTGATGTCAGTTGATGGGGCGAGCCAACTCACGAGCGGAATCTAGCAGCCATAAGCTTTGAAGAGAGACCACTTCCTTTCTTTTAGAATCTGAAGTGTTAGATTCTTGCTAAAATGCTTTTGTAATAGAGTAGATGACTGACTAGTAGTGTTACTGATCTGAGATGGAGGGGGAAGCAGTGGATCGGAATTCGGTGATTAAACAGGTAGGAATTGGAGCTGGTTAAAGACCTGGTGTTTGTGTATTAGATCAACTGCACGGGTTGCTTGCAAAGTGCTCAACTTCTCAAAATGACATGCGCGTTCCCGTGGCGTTCGGTAAACTGGGAGAAGTGAGCACATCTCATCTTCTAATAGCGTATATGCCCAGAAAGAGATTGGATACGTATGATTCTGGAAAACCACCTCGGTGATTCTTTAAATGAAATGTTGAGGTTTTTCATTAAAGCGGACCCGTTCCTTCCTCCGATCCAGATTTTGCATATGGCGCATACTAGCATAAATGCAGCAATACATTCATTTACTTTTACTCATAACTCCTTTCTAATGTTAATAGAGAAAGTGGAAACAAACGTGGAGTTGCTCCTGAATGGGATGGAGATGATGCGGACTGCTTTTGTTGGTCACTTGCAGGCTTATGAAGAAACTCGTCGATTCCGACTTCTTGCGATTTCTTCTCGTCCGACAGCTCTGCAAACACATCGCTAGATGACGGCAATCTTGCCGTATTAGGAATCGGTGACATAGGTGAGGCTGAGGATCCACCTGACGCTAGCAGTGCGGTTTTGGTTGATTGACTTCGAGCTGTTGCCAGTCGCGGTGATGCTGCGGTATCGCTGCTAGCATTTCGGGCTAGATTCCAACTATCTTTGTCGACGGCGGTGAGGGGTCTACTTCCGGATGCTGATGTTGGCGAAAAGAAATCCGTATTAAGTGCCGTTCTAGTGGAAAGCGCTGCCTGTCCTGGCGAGGTCGAAGATTGGCGCAACTTTGCTTCACTTTGTCTTGATCTGATTTCGCTTACAGTTTTTGCCGTTTTGTCCTCACCAACCCGTGCCCTAGTTGTTGAGCTCGCTGCTGCCGTCGATATAATTGATGGCCCGGACGGTCCGTGCAGTACCGCCGTGTTGGATGCCACTATCACAGTAGGACCTGATGGTCCATGAAGTATGTTTGCGTTTGCTGGAATGGCCGACGTTTGTCTCAAAGGTTTCAAAGTGGCCTGCCGCCGCGCCCTCTTAGGGTTGGTTTTGGATCTCGAGACTGGAATGGTTTTGGATTTCGAGGCTGAGTTGGTTCTGGAAGTTGAGGCTGACGCTGTTGAGATTATTGAGCTCCCGGACGGCCCGTGCAGAACGGCAGTGTCGGATGCAATCACTACAGTGGGACCCGATGGTCCATGGAGTATGTCAGCATTAGCCGGTAAAGTCGACGTTTGTCTCAAAGGCGTCCTGGCACTCTGCTGCTGGGCAATTTTACGATCAGCTCTGGATCTCGAGGCTGGGACTGCTGAAATGATCGTTGGACCAAACGGTCCATGAAGTACTGCAGTGTTTGGTGCAGGAATAATTGGCCTATAAGACGGTTGTTGGTATGCAGTCCTAGTGAAAGCTGGCCTTTCTACTGACGAACTTCTAGACCTTGCAGCGGCCGTTCCTTTCGCCGGTGGTCCTAGAAATAGTATCAGTTCACAAGGTTGGCTAGTTCTGGAAGATCAGGTTGTTGAGATCAATCTCATGCAGGAAAACCATGAGGTACTCCTGACTGAGTGCTGTCAAGAAGGAAGTGTTCTGAGGGTGAATCTAGGCCTCAAAGCCTCGTTTTCTTTGATATCCACCCATACTAATTGAACGTTCCTACCTAATGTTCTCCCACAGGGTGTTCCTATGGCAGCAGCCGTTTTCACTTCGTTACTCATGTAGTCAGATGTAGATGTACTAGGAGTTGTTGTACTTGTTCTTGCGGAAGCCGCTGAATGAGTCTGCTTCGAGAGCTATTTTACACTTTACACCCAGACGTCGGGCTACCGTCTTACCTCGTGCAGGAGTTTTGCTTCTCCCAAATAGTTTCCCTCTACGAAGTGCTGAATAGTCGTGAAATCAGCAATTCTTTCTTACTACTTCTACTTTTATTGAAATTACTATAATCGCCTCACCATCCATGGTCTGCTCTCCTGCTAATAGTGGTCGGGCTGTCCTCTCTGTATTAGTCTGGAAAGACTAGGCAGCTTAAAGTCACGAAGAAGTGGTAGTTTCCTGTACACTCACAGCTGGTGTTGTCGACCTGGCTGTTGCACGGGAGAATGGTGATCGGCTTGTTGACACTTTGTTCGTATAACTTCTCAGACTAAAAGGAATTCACGCCGTAATCAAAACGCAATGAGTATGTGATGGGATTCGAGGGAGGTTTTCCAAATTGGGTAGTATGCAACGTGGGGGAACGTGCGTCCACCAGCGACCAAGTGGACGACTTTTCCCATCGGCATACTTATTCCTCTATCTTTCCATATACTCTGTTTGTAATGCCTTGCTCTTTCTTTTTTGTATAAGGTCAGTCGGAAAGGGTCTGTCGGTAGACTCGCAGGTCTGGGACCCAGTATGGATTGCAAGAATCTTTAGTGTGTTGATATAAATTTCATGATGCTAGTTATGCATTAAGGATCTTACTTCGCCTGGCTGTTGACGTTGCTCCGAACTGTCGGAGATCGGCCACGTCTCGTTTCCGTTGTTACAGGGGTCCGTTTCACTGCTGAAAAGCCAATATGGAATAGGTAGGATCCGCTTCATAGGAAAGTGAAAGTCTGTAGTCTAAAAGTCAAGATCGTGCATGAAGAGGTAAGAAGCCCCCTGCCATTTTGAAACCTCAGCGACCCAATCCGTCGGCTGCTCCAACACCGCAGCACGAAGGATGACGTTCCCTTGGGATGATATGTTTAGAAAAGGTCACTCACGTTCATTTTCCAGCGTTTGTTGCATTTGAGCAGTCGGTGAAAGTGCCGTGGCGACACGCTCAGAACCTGCGGATGTGTCGGAGAAGGCCGAGTTATCTCGCACAGCGGTTGCAACTGCGACGTGCCCGGGAGAACTGCAATGAGCTGGCTGACCTCAACGTATCTGGATAGACAGGGAACTAAATATGAAGAAGACGATTGAAGATAACATTGGGTAATTAAGTCTGTGGAGAAGCAAGAATAAGCAATGAACAGAAGGCTGGCTTAGGCAGAATGACGGGAAGAGGAGAATGAAGTAAGGGAGATATCGAATAGAAAGGATACTTGTAAGAGTTGACCGTAATCCGGATGTACTTTAAGTTCAATAGCCAGTATGATAATGCCAACGTTCCTTAAAAAGCCGCAAATATATGTAGTCGCGCACCCTCACCTCATACCCTAGACCCAGCCCTCAACTAAGTTACTATCGTTAAATGAGAAACGTAGGCGGGCGGTCACGACGATGTCTGGCTTGTTGCCACGAAGGAAAACTCAGTTTTCGGTCATCTGCATAGTTAAAAGTTGTTGATTCTCTACATGTACCAACCTAGGGGGGCTTTCGTCGCGGTATGATGCTGATATTGCTGAAGGGACCCGTTCTGTACTTTCATCCGCTGTTTTCAAATACGTCGATTTAGTTGTGCCACTTGTCGAGGACGACCTGATTTTATCACAATACCTGTGAGTTGAATATCATTGAATACGCAAATGACACACCTTCCTGGGATGCCGCTGGTAAAACGGCTTTTGTAGGGCGTCTGAAATGATTCTACCTTTATTCAGAGCAACAAAGTGGCTTAGAGATAAGGTTGTTTAGCTTTCCCAATTATCAGGCTCACTTTTTGAGTCGAGTTACGTATGGTAAGGCGCAGTTTATGTGAATGATGAGGAACGTTGTTCTTCATTTCCTCATCAGGGCTGCGGTAATTGGTAGGCTAGGACAAGTGAGAGCAGCAACCTATGTTGGGGGATTGGGTGGGATACTATAGTAATTCAAGATGCTGTCATTATCTTTATCATCATTATCAAGTTCAGCACGTTTCTATGTTCCCGCCTTTTCTCTCGCCAGTTACCATCTTCCACCTAACCCGCTGAGGCATGTAACGGGAGAGTCACTGACATCCATATATTGGAACGAAACTGTGTCGTGGTGGCATCACCTTACCGGTAGCTTACGGAGAATCGTTGTGTGGGAAGATGCCGGGAAGGTTTATTTTTGAGAAAGTCCAGAAAAAGGATGTGTGAAGTTACGTGTGATTTCGCCGTTTGAACATTGCTGTCTGAACTTGAGGCCGATCGCGTCCTTCCTGTAGTCTGCGTTACGGCTGGTGTCAGACTCCTTGATCTGCTGCAATAAGACATCTTCAAAAAGGAATTTTCAGCCTATTAAGGGCTCTAGCGTATACTGCGCGTCTCATATTGTTATGTCCATGTTTCAGGCCAGCGTCTCGCAGAGAGACTTTGGGGATATGTTTGAGCTTTTTGAAACCCCTCATGACGTAGCGCAAGGTTGGTACCATGGAACCTAATGGTGCGGGGATGTCGCATCGCCGCGCGGCGGGGAAGATTGAAGTGAAGGTGAGGGTGATAGAGGTTAAGACTGGTAGGAGACTCGCGTCATATCACGGAACCGAGTCCCCATACCGATACCCTGGTTTTGTTAGCGGTCGATTTCTTTTGAACCCTTATCTTAATCAGGACGCCTGTGAATCTGTCCCAACAACCTCTAAAGGCAGGACATCGTCAGAGAGCGGTTGTTGACGAATGAAATGGACATCTCTTATAGGAGAGGAACGTAGTCATGATACCCGTGATAACTTGTGCCCACTGTCATAACCTCGCGACAGAACGATACAGCGAGTCAACTTTGTATGTTCCAGATTCATTTATCAGCTCCCCCCGAGCCTTATCGATCCGACTTCCGAGATCCAACCATTCTTCCCGTTGTTTTCACTACCTGCCCAGCATTGCCCGTCTGCCGTAGTTATACTGGCGACTTCTAGACATTCTTGATGCATTCATGATTCTTCTTTATAAGTTCCTGTGTAGCAGCACTCTTCCTGACCTCACTCTGCCGGCCGATTCATCAGCAGATGAGTGTGGGAATGAGGACTGATAATGCGCATGATCAGAGTCGATGTTCATTCAGGAAGGATTACATCGAACGGGTGGTTGGGTCGTTTGGTATCTTGAACAGTGATTGATGGAAGTTCTCGGCTCGGATACCACTTGAGAGGTTCTGAGCAGGACCTCTGTGGGACACTTCGGTCTTCTTCAAGTGAACTCTCTTCATGCAATCTTAGGCTCCGGCTGATTCTCGTCTGAAAGAGCTTCAAGCGTCACTCACCCAGGATTCGGCTGATTTTCTTGGCCATCACTCATCTTTCTGTCCAGATCTCTAATGAGATCTTCAATAAGTTGACTGACCTGAAAAGGTTGTACTGACATACTAATCTCCTGAAGGTTTCAAAATGACCAACATCACGTCGAGCTGAAGCAATTGCACTGGCCGGGCCCACTTTAGCAGGCTGTTTTGAAGCTTCGGACATACCACAGCAACGTCGAGTAGGAAATGAAACTCACTCAAAAAAGTTTTCAATATTATGATCGCTGATGTGTGCCCACAAAAACAAATAAGTGGGTGGAGCCTCTGCATTCGAAAACAATAGGTTCATTCTACTTCGTCGTTCAGAGCAAAAGGTTCAGAATGGCAGTCTCCAGGTGGGGCAATCTTTTTGGAAGCTTAACGAGGGGTTGTTACACTTCACGCGATACTATGAGATACCGCCTTTCCTGCTGGGCACACCATTCTAGTCAGGCCGCCCAGTTCCACACTTCAGAACGTTCATTTTTCGTGGAGCATGAGTTCTGAAAGTCCACTTTGACATGGACATTGGTCGATGATAGGTACATCCTAGAAGTTTACCTGACACTCAATTTGCAGTGCCGACGAGCTGTCATCGCCATTTCTGACGAGAATGCTGGGAAAGCTTCAAGTCCTCAGTACCAATTTGAAGTGTACGAAACAGCCCAATGGTGAGTGTTCTAGGTTTCGTATCTAACCGTTCAATTTCCAAAACAAGAAAAACCATAGGACTATTACTTTCCTTACTTCTTTCTCCCTCTGTTTGTCGATTGTACATCCCAAATAGTTTTCATTTTACGCGCGTACAATCACATGTCATAGACCTGGGTGATCAACACAAAGGTAGCTTAATAAAGAGTTGAAAAAAAGCAGTCTCGAATGTTATTTTCAACATTTCACTTCTCGATTCAGGAAGGTACCTCTACGAGTATTCGGTTCAAGTTCATCCAGAGCAAGAAGATAAAGATCTTGCTGGTAAGTAAGATAGATCTCAAACTCCAAGCCGGTCTATCAACACATGCAAACAGGAATATAGACAGTACTCATGATACGAGCAGCTTGGCTGTCAAACTGTTTGAAAGGTTACCAAGGAGAAGTTACAGAGTAGCTGGCTGGCTTGTTGAGCTGACTCATTTTCCAGAAACTCAATAAGACTGCGCCTCTGTGCTCCATCTGCCTTTGGTGGTTGGGGAGGATAGTGGGAATAAACCATACTTGGCATAAAAGGTAAGCCTTCCGGTCCCCGGGAAGAACCCAGTAATTAAAAGCTGTCAGACACATCCGACATTTTCGACCTAATGGTAAGTACGAGCCGTAGAATAAGGACATAGCATAGTTGCCAGCTCGAAAGAATAGGGACATCAGCTCCAGCCATGGTAACGCAAGTTCTTACAACACCATTGAATTTCAGGTCTCCTTCAACCTAATTCAAATATGGACTTGTCGACTTCCGAATCTTCGTACGGCTCATCATACTCCACTGACAGACGGAACCAAAATGTACTCTTTTTCCATCAAACAGGGGGATACTGTAAGATATCAGAAAAGTGGTGGTCGTGTCTATTGGGGGCGGTGAGCCCCTCTTCTTTACTACAGTATGCTCCCTGAGCTTCTAGATTCCTTTAATCGATGTTCTAATCTGAAGATCTTTGGTTGTTCAATATGGGATAAACTCAGACTGCCCCGACAACCTCCTCTTCGGCAAATCCAAGCTATCATTCGGAATATGACTGCAAATATATGGTCAACGTGCGCTTCGTACTTTTCCATCGCAATATGAATGGCAGGTAAGTAGCTAAGGACTTCGAAAGGCTTCGGTTCAGGCCACCCTAAGCAGAATCCTTTGTCAAGAGTCTCAGAATTTCAATTCAGGGGTCAGTCAACAACAACAGCCGAATTTTCCTCGCAAGTGACTTTGCGAACTGTGATCGAGCACTTCCGTCTTGAAACTTCTTTTAACAATCGGTAGACTACTCAGCATTTTTGGTCACCACAGTCAACTTATAAGGAAGACAAGCTAATCCAGTAGTATTACATAAATGAATGTTGCTCGTAAATGAGTCAGTAAACATCCGTTTTCAGCGGAATGTTCGCACCTCGCCTGGCATATTCGGTCGGCCGTAACTATCGCACCACGTATCCGCTGACCGATGCCGATCTCGATCGACCACTGTCAGACTTTTTGAAGGATAACGATGACGTGAACTCGCTCACAATCCTAGCTGATATCTGTTAGAGTAGAGCTCCTGAACTTTCTTTTTGAACTGTGTCACAACTGCTACATAGCAAACTTGTGTTCTGTATCTGGCATTAGGGCCATTTGAAATGAATTCTGTAATAATACAGGTTTGCGATCGGAGTAGTAAAAGTAGTTCACCATAGTTTCAGGGCGACTCAATCAATTACCCAGTAAGATTTATTCCGAAATATTTGGTGTGACATAGACCTAAACATATAAACAACGTAGGTATTTCAAAGAGGGATTTGGCTTCGTGAACTGTACAATCAATCAATACAATCGATTCCTAGCAATCAACTTTTGTTCTCGATTACATAGTGAATTCTTAATGTATGGAACCAAGCATGCTGATTTCCAAACCAGAATCTATAAGTCCCAGTTTTCGACACCGGCGCTGAATCGCCAAATGGTACCATGGTTGGTCCGGGAACTTTCTGGAAAGTCAAATGTTACGAAGAGGTTAGGTAAGGTGTTGAAAGAAATATGAGGATAATAACGCCCACGAGCTTTACGTAAGGAAAACACGAATGGTATTCATGGAAAACTTGAAGGTGAATGTTTGTCCCGCCCTCTACAGACCACGCTCTTCACCCAGAGACCTTCCATTGGCATAACGAAAGAGTAGATTTTAGACAGACGCAGATGTCACTGTATTATGGTAAGGAAACAAGCAATTCGGAAAAGAGTCATGCGTTGGTATGTAAAACTCCTCATTAACTTGGAGTGAGACCTTCCAAGTTCTCGTTTCAGCTAGTCAAAACAACTAAAATAAAGGTGAAAAAATCGGATTTTCAAAGTTATACGGTATTGCTCTGATAGAGATCACTTACACTGAAAAGTGGGTAGAAATTCTTCATCTCGCTGAGATCATCGGTTTCTTTGTTCACCTCGTAAATTGTGAAAGCAAAATGTCCGTTTGTGTGAAGCTCCCATGAAAGATGTGTGCCCTGGAAAGTAGGACGTGAAATGTTGAGGAGCGGATAGTCTTGAAGATTAGAAGTAGCTGGTTCCGGTCCACGGTCAGCCCCAGCCAGCAAAGCACTCCACCACTACGAGATCTCCTAGTTTTTGCCACTCTCATGTGGGAGAATGAAGGAAATACAGGCTTTTACTCTGAGTGTGGGAGAATGAAGTGAAATACTGGCTTCTACTCTGGGTAGAAACCTACTTTTCAAGCTGAGTTCCCATTCCAACATCATCACCATGGTCTTTAAAATAAATCTTATCAACGACAAAGCCACTCATGACTTCAATCCACCACCAGCAGTTCTTTTTTTTCTTTGGGTGAAGAATATCAGAGTGCGTCCTCCATTCATTACTCCCAGAATCCGTTCTGTACTAAGAAGAACCCCACATAGAACAAGGAAGGGATCACCTCTTTGGCTTCGATGTCGAGGTAGGCAGTTTTTCCAGCTGGAACCTGTAGAATCTTCGCTGCACTGGAAATTTCTCCTTTGTAGTAGCCATCCTCCGGATAATCCACACCTCGTTCAATCGGCGCCAGGAAGGGCTACAAATCGATGGGTCAGCATATACCCTTGTTAGTATTTACCTCTATACACTCCAGATTCTTTCGAAACGAATATGGGAATTTATTTACTCCTGCTTGCCATTCCTCGTTCCAATACGTGGGTAGACATTTTTCATCCGCCAACTTCCGAATTTCATCTTTCCACTGTGATCCGAGTATGTTCACTTTGAGACGTGTTTTCTCAGGCAACAACGGTCGAGCAACGGTCCTACAACGATCGTTTACAGTCACATGCAGTATCTACAATATCCTGCGTCACGGTCGCGTGCATCAGAGTGTAAACCGCTAGAATGATGCGTGCGGTTGCAACGCGTACGTAGTGGAAAGAACCGTAAAAGGACCACAACATACCATATTGCACTAATGAAGTGAGGTACGTTCACCAAAACAAAGCTGTGTACCATTTCCACATAATGTTCCGCCATAAACGCTGAGATAGAGGCTAATCCACCTGAAAAACAATTGATTTCTGACGGGGGTCGATCACGCGTGCATCAATCCTGTTATGGGTCTGTGTATAATAGTGGAAAAATCTGTCTGCACAAGACATCTGTTTGGATGTTTACAATGTAAATAGACAGATGATATATGTAGTTGTTAGCAGATTCGAGTCAATAGAACACGAGGATCGGGGCAACGCTAGCTACTGTACTTTCACCTTACTCCCGGGCTGATATGCTAGATGGACAAGTAATTTGAAGATGTATAGGTGTGAAGCGCATGCTCGAGTAATGACGAGTGCGTGGCTCATTCTGAATGTCCAAAAATCATTCTGAACGCTAGAACTGCTTACCTGTCACAAGTGTCATTAATTTTCTGTCCATTTTCAATCCTGTCATATCCATTATATAGAATATCGCACACTGTTCTCCTGAAGGGAAAAATTATTCATTTATTCCATATACTTTTTATATTTTCCATGTTTTCATGACAAAGACTGTATAGAATACCATTTTTCTTCTCCAGCTCCATTACTGCACGGAGCATGCTTTCGAGATCGTGTATTCGGGCTCTGGAACAACACAACTTCTCAAAAAGCCTTTTTTAGAAAGAATTTGAGAATCATATTTCAACCCAACATCCAGTAGGCCTGGGTGCTATTAGATGACTGGCGTGACTGGCACGTGAGAGGGGTGGGGAGTGGGGACAGGGAATTTTTTGAATAAGGAATGATCTTCAGATTTGTGTATACACAGATGCCTTCTCACGATAAAAACGATCAGGTTCTACGATAATAAAGAAAGTTAAGTTTGTTAATTTGGATGGTTGAAAAGCAAAAATTAAAATACAGAATAATTCAAGCGTGAAGGATCTCTTACCGAAGTATTTCGTTGATCGGATATGTGTTTAACATACCCCAGTAGTCATTACCTCCAGTTTGTTCGATATTGACGACACAATTCGGCGTCTTGACAGCTTCACCAGTGAGGCCACTCTGAAAATGCATCAAATTCCTCAAATCAAAAAAAAAAAAAATAAAATTCCGATGGATTTGCGAAATACTAGTAGTTTCTAGATTTGGAAGAAGTAGTGCCTACCTTCCAATGTTTGTGGATGGCATGATTCCTTGGCTTGTCAGCTAGAGTGTCGAGATCCCACAGCTTTCGTAACATCAAGTGATTGATCAGTTTCGGGGTGATTATCTCCAAATTGTAGTCGTGACCTTTACAAAGCATTTATTTTTTGAGGAAAGTTTAAAAATTCCATGTACAACGAAAGTTATGGTTAAACGGGAGGTCATCCTACCTTTGAGCCATCGTAAAAGGTTGTAGTCGGTATCATAGTAGGGCGTAATCTAGAAAGACTTGGATCAGAAAATGAGAAAGATTTGAAGATGATTACCAACTTGGCAAAAAGTATTTTTCTGGGTTGTCCCACACCTAACCCAAAACTCGTTAAGCTCGCATTTGCCCACCACAAAAAGAAGAAAATCACCCGAAATTCGTGTTTTCATCTTCCACTCAATTTGAATTGGAAAACGTTGGTCACTTGAGTGAAGCGCAAAATCTTTGCGAATTTTCAGACTCACTGGAACCCTCTTCAGCGAAATGGCTCAAGAACCTACAATTCATCTACAGACCCTCTTAACTGATAGATATTAGTGATGAATTCTTTTGGTTAACATTCAGTACTGAAAATTCTTCACACGGCTTTTAGAAAAAATTTCCAACGACGGACGCAATGAGGATTCAAACGAGCAGAACAGCCCTCAAGCCACATTATAAGCGGGTTTGAAGTCTTCCTGTCCAAACGGATTCTGGTCACGCCTCCTTGTCTTTGACCGCCAAACATTTGAACTTTTTTTTACAAAAGTTCAAACCGATCAAAGTCTTCAACAAGGCAACCTAGGTAGCTTCTATAGCGATCAAAGCCGATCAATTTATGAGCTTCGGTTGTGTCTGTCATTCTCACTCCACTCCGCCCTGCTCCTTTCAGGGATTTTCATGAATCCATCCAATTGCTCTTACTAGAATAAGTCCTAGTTACTACTAATCTTCATTAGTAGACCTTTTTTGTGAAGTAGTATGTGTAGGCCAGGTAAAGTACAAGTAGAACTTGTAGCGAAAAATCGACCCACATGCTCCTTCACTAAGTTCCGTAGCTCCTCGATCTTCTCTCGGTCCGCCTCTGATATCGTCATTTCCTCTGTGAACATCGCTTTATTACCGACAATTCGACGAATACTTCAAAGCGATTGCACGCACTTTGGAAATGTGAAAGAAACGGCAGTGAATTCGGTTCAGTAGGTTTAGTGACGCAGTTTGGAATGACGAGATCGTCCCCACTTTTTGAAAATGTGCTCAAAGGAAAAGTGTTAGAGTGCTAAACTAAGACTCAGGCCCGACCCAAATTATCATGTCTCTTGCGCTGTTCCCTTACCCAAAGTACCACCCAATTTGTGAAATAAGAACTCAAAATTCCCAGCCAGTCTCGCCAACCCCGCCCATTAGTCTGTCATTATTTGTACGAGTCAACATCCTGTATAACTATGTATAGGAACTTTTACAAATGAATCTGAGTTTGAAGACAATGAAAGCTATACTGCAGAAATAGAAAACATTCTACATTAGAAAAACGGGACTCGCTCTCAAGTGGGACAATCGTTGAAGGAGAAGAAGATTTATCAATCGAGTTATGTTGTCGATCAAGGCTTAGATCCTGATTTTGAAAGTTTAAACGAGATTCAAATAAGTGAATGAATATCTGTAGCGATGAACAGGGGTAAAAGTGCCAGCTCACTCTTCTCCCAACCTTCCACCTTGACCGATGGCTTGGTCGATCGATCGACGTCCGAGAGTACGAAAGGGAACACTGTCGACCTTGAACCTACATTGAAACTGTCTCATGGAGTGCTGCAAAACATGGCTTCAAAACATGCAGCTCAGATAGGAGCAACAGCGAGTCAACCCGTGCTGGGAGCTATACTGATGACGATAAGGAAATCTGCTAGGAAGGCAGAGCATTCTAAGGTGCCCTTACTGGAGAAATAGTCCCGCGAGAACATGATTGAACACCCCCCCCCCCCCCCCTCCCCATCACACAAGCCAAAACTTCATCATGAAAAAATTGAAAGTCAGTAGAATGATGAGTAAGAGGTCGGATAGGTGATGGACACTTGGGTATCCTGAGCGCCAAGGTCGTCAACGCTAAACTGGGGCACGACACCCTTTGGTCCAGAACCAGTTTTATGGAGGAGTGGCCAGTAAACATGTTGTTTACACACTTACTATTACTAGTCTCCCTGCAAATTGGTTACTATCAAAAGTGACGAATGATCAGGCGCGGTCAGTTAAAGGTACAGTTCATGATTATTTTGGGTGATCTAGTTTCAGAAGAATAATGAAAGTGAAAAGTGAGAGTCCAGGATCGGAAATTTCTTTTTCATTCAACAGCGACATTACTAACTCGCAATTGAGGTCAAGCATTTCTGCAAACTACATTTTTTTGCCTGTGCAACCCAGGATCACCTCAAGGAGATGGAAGTTGAGTAAAGTTGCATGAAAGTATTTGGACGAGCTACCCAAATATGGATGCCACTGCGTACAGCTGGTTGTAAGCTGCCTGGGCGTGGGCCCTGGTGCAAACGGCGCATACCATCTTGTCTAGACCGTGTTTCTAACCGACCAGAGGCTTAAAAGTTCCATGACAAGCTTATGGTGGAATTGTAAACATCGGCAGTTGGTCTTTCAGAAATTCAGAGGCCAGATGCATGGACGACAGCCAATACTTGGCCGTGCCGCCAAGGGCGGGAAATAATTCAATTCGGGCTGTTGCTGATTATCCCGGGACGGTTAGATGTTGAACGTGGGGTGGAGGGCTTGAATTTCAATGATCCCACCATTTTCTTTTTACTCTTCAGCATACAGATCTCTAGCTGCACAAGTCTGGAAAGCCAGCTGAAGACGTTGATCCTCCTAAAGGGGGCTCAGACTTTGCAGTAATTGTCTTCACTTGTAAATTCGAAAGATCTCTTTTGCAAAAGCATCGGAAAAGCTTCTGTTTTTTTCCTCTCTTAATCAACATATTCTATAACATGTAACATATATTGCAGTTTATTTCTAATTGGGCTTCTAGACCGTAACATCGCCCTGGAAGCATTTTGTTTATCTGACCATCAGTCTACAGACCAGGGCTTGATCTCTTCTAAAAACTCATTTCCCGAATCCATCTTTCCAACTTCTCCTCATAACTCCTGGATAATGGGCTATTTTTTATTATATTTCAGTTATGTCTGATAGAATGGATTCAACATACGATCACGTTAATGCGCGGTGTTGGGGATCATTGGAAGAAGATCTCCCTGAATACCTGTGCGATGAATTTTTCAGAACCCATGGTGAGTGTCTGTGCCTATCATGATCTGGTCGCCTGTTTCTTTGAACACTGGCTGAAGGGAATGTCGTCCTTTTGGCAAACGGTGGCTTGCGCTCCTCACAATATTTGTAGAAAATATGGAATAGCAAACAATGAATACCGAATTCAATTATTCGCATGCTCGTTTGTGAAATTTTGAGTGAACGTGGCAGAATTGCAGGGCCAGCTGCGCTGCCTAGTTTGATAAAGGGTCAAGTGATTGATTTCGGACACTAGACAACCTCACTTCAAGAAGTGATGGTGCAGCGTTTCCACTCGCTTGGGAAATCGCGCATGGGAAACTGCTTTTATGCATTGTTTTAACGTGGTGTCTTCATTTTTTGGTGGAACTACCAGAACGATAGTAGTTCGTCCTTAGGGTGGTATGCAAGAAGGGAGCTCGAGCACATAGAGCGGGTACCATTTTCTTTTCCATAAGCATTTTTTTTTAATTGGTCTTTGTTACTTTTATACGTGCCCACGTTAATCGCTTATTTTGGAACGCTCAATAATAAGGGAAAGACCAAGTCCAAATGAGCTCTGCTAGTACTGGAGCTTGGATCCGAAGAATCAACCTTTTTTTGTCATATTTCTGAATTCCACTGATCGAATTATTCCAAGTGGTGGCACTAAAATTGTGTTTACAATGTCTATGCCGCATTTAGGCGACATCGATGTTACCGAGGCGAATCCTGCGGCAAGCAGAGTGGTAGAGAATGAGGCAAGTATTTGTTCTCAATCACTATTCGTGCTGTATGCTGTATTCTACGGCGTTTTTCTTAGTAATTTGGATTTATATTAATTAATTGAATCGTATTTTGAAATCTTTTATCTGCGACAATATTCCCCTTACACATAACCCTCCTAAACTCACATCAAATCTGTATCTTAGGTGCACAGGGAAGAAGTGTAATTATAAATAAAGCATTCATGACAAACATACTTTCGCAGCGATTATCGTGGAGGTCAACACCTGCTGTTCAGGGAAGGCACGATCCGCAGGTGAATTCAGAGCTTCCTCAGGACGAAAATCGTCCTCAAGAAGCAGTCAAGGCCACGGCATCCGAATATCAGGATGGAAATCGTCTTCAACAACCAGTCGAGGCCAAGACATCTGAAAATATTGGTAAATGTGCTGATTCTTGCAATTTCTATTGAAATTCGCGCTTTAAACTACTTTACAGGGGATCTCACTCGCTTAGCAATGTTTGACAAACAGAATAATGTACTTCGCCAATCACAGGTTCAGCATGAACAGAAAACAGTAGCAGCAGGTAAATTAATTTCCACTATTACCGGAACTTGTAACTATTTGCCGTTATGGTGGCAAACATGCAGCGTGAGTCCTGGGGTCTTTCTGCTTACTTTGAAATTTGTACGATTCCTACTGTCGGTAAGAGAAACTGATTCTTCTTGTAAAGCAACGTCGTCGGCAAGCACAGCGTTGTCAAGCAGGCATACCGCACAACACCAAACGCCAACTCGTGTAGCAGCTGCGCCTGCCACAAGAATGCAGTCTTCTGTTTCTCAGCAGACTGGCCCGTACGTTCACAATTTCTTAATTTCCATATTTCATCTATGTTAGCATCCTTTTATGGATTATTTTCGATAGTCATTTCTTATTTTAGGGTCTCGAGCGCAAGAACTCGCTTAACTCCTGTGAGCATGAGAGACAAGAAGGCTATCCCCACTCGTATTGCCACGCACACAGCAGGATTAAAGCCTGGGTATGCCTGTAATTCATGTATTTTATGGGTAACAATTAAGGGCTTTGTTGGGCAATGTAATTTTTTATTTTATTTTTGCTATTTTTGTTTACTTGTATATATTAGAGTAGAGCATCTTTGTGCTGCTCTAATATTATTTTCATTCAATATTTTGCTGCTTTGGTCTTTGCTACATAGTTACGTAAAGATGAACTGTTTCTCGAATGAGATGGAGTTACTCCGTAAAAGTTACTTCCGGAACAACTCACAATTATGATATCCTGATTATTAGTTTTTAGCCCCTTACGAGTAGTATCTGATTCCCAACAACAAATTTCCAATACCGTAGAAGCTCCGACTGAGCCCACTACCAGCCGATTGAGGTAAGTTCAAAGAATTTACTACGAACACCTGCTGTCGTTGTGCTCTAACTTTCATAGATCCACTAGTCGTCACGACCGTAATCTAGCCGGAGGACCGCTTACTCGTGCGCGCAGCAAAGAGCCTGGATTGAGGTATGTCGTTATTTTCCCCGATCGAAAATTCTTGGTTCGTTCAAACACCGTTTTCAGTTCTGAGACCGCCAACGAGGCTCGCTCTATACCATCCGATCAAGATGTCTGTTCGTGTGCAAGTTTTTCCCCACTTCCTACCATTTAATCAGTCTTTATTGTTTCAGAACCTCGCGATAAGTGTTGGCCAAGTAGGGGTTCGCACAGAAAGACGTGCCCGTGATCGAGCGCCTCGTGCAAATACCAGTAGTTCAGCTAGAAATCCACTACGTAATGGCCCTGTGCGCATCGGTCGTTACCCGCAACCCGCAGGTATATATGTACGAGTGGTTAGTGGTTGATAATCTCGGTAGGCTTTACTGGGACGGACATTTTCTTATTTACATTAGGACATTGTAATGAAAGTAATTAAAGTAACTGATATTGGCCTCATTAAGATGCGTCTCTGAGCAGTGCTACTGTTCCGAGCGAGAACGAATTCCGTCGTGAGTTGGTCACTCGCGTTTCGAGCTTGGGACCGACCCCTCGCTCCACTTCGACTCCAAGAAATGGTAGCAGGGCCGTCGTCACGAGTGCAAGTGAATTCCCTTTTCCCTTTTATTTCTCTTTTTAGTGAGATTTCTTTTTCAGCACTTACGCACTCATTTGAATTCAATTTTCAGATAGAAGCACCTCATGCTCTCGTCGTCTAGTTGCCATTGCTCCTCGGGCCGCCTCTTCGCGTACTGGAACTGTGACAGCAGGAAGCGCTACTGCGCAACAGGTTCTTCTTCAAATGTTTCGATTTTCGCGTCAGGAATTCTGTCGGAGGACTCGTTTAGTTTATTATACCTAAAAGTCACACATTTTTCTACAAGTTTTGAGTAGCTATTTTCTAGTTTAGCTTTTAGCTCCAGGGTTATTTTAGGGTACCACATCGCGAGTTACCCGAAACGAGAATACTCGGCCAATCAAACCTCGCTCCACTGTAATACATTCCACTCCTGTGATTCCAAGAGAAAAAGGTGATGGCACTCCTTCAAGTGCTTTCCGCCGAGAACTTCGTCGGTACCCTGCCCCTACGGTATTTAACTGTTTTTATTTGTTTTTGATGAACAGATGATCTCTTAATGTATTCTTGAAATAGGCTATCAAATGTTATCGTAGCCAACACGTGTGTAAGGATCACTTCAATGGCTGTTTCAGTGAGTAATTAATTCATTATAAATGTAGGGATTAACACCACGTCATCGGCCCCCAACGATCCCAAAGGGGTACGGCTTCAGGGCGAAAACTTCCAAAGTGGAGCGTCCGCCTCAGGTACAGAGTATTTCGATGATCTGACTGATGTGTACATATAGAGTACTTCTGTTCTTTCATTTTTAAAGGCATGTGATTTACAGAATTGACTGCGCTTTCAACTTTTGAATTATAGATATTTCAAGCTTCTGATCACATGAATCTTCAGATGGGTTCGTTAGCAAGCTCGACAGTAGAAGTTGGACCAACGACAAGCTCGGCTACAGAGGCACGGTCCAGGAATGTTTTGTCAAGGGAAAGGGAACGCGCAATGATTGATCGCCTGGCTGTTCCCAGGAACGCTGCCTCTAGATCGCCCCTCAGGTAATACGTGGCTATTTCGAAGCAGTCTTCTTTTTCATCATTGTAAAATCTTCCAGAGTGAGCAATGTCCATACACACGGGCTGAGTTGCGTAAAGGGTCGCAGCCGATCATCTTCTAGTCGACCAACCTCAGCGCTCAGCAATAGTAGCGCTCCATCTTCTTCTAGAGCTCTTTTCTTCTCCGAAGCAAGTCGTCCCGCATCGGCTGAGCCGAATGAGCGTGCAGAACCAGCAGGTGAGTGTTGCTGATTACTTAGAAGTAGTTGACCTCACAAACTTCGGAACCTTTCTCGTCAATTTTGTTTTCAGCTGCTAACAGAGTTAACTCGGATGTGTGAAATGTGCCTCTCAATGGTGATCATTGTAATCTCGTAGTCTATTGAATCTTTTCCTTGTAAATTAGTTATTCTTCAAATATCATACGCTTTCTTTTCGGAATTTTCCACCCTTCCTCTCACTGTAGCGGCGTTGGTTGCATAACTAAGAATTTCGAAAGTGTCCTTGCACCATTTTTCTGTGATATCTGATGAAAAATAATTGTTAAATATATGCTCACAAACTTTTATTCGCATATGTTTGAACGACCGATCCACTTGAGAACTTCCGCAAACTTTTTGGAAGTCGAGTATCAACTTCAATTTCTATGTACCATGCCTGGGAGAGCAGGTCTGTACTGACGTTTATTAAATGATTGTGAAGCTTCGACAATGATTCGGCTTGTGCCCGACGTACGATTTTTAGTATTGAACTTCATTCGATAACGACATCGGTGTTCATCGACGGTTTTTGTGTTGCTTCCCTTTTTTCTTCATGTGAAATATTCTATAAATTATGAAGCTTTGTTATTGATTCTACTTTACTCGTTTTGTGTCGATTCCCTACTTCTTTCATGTGAAATGTTCTATAAATTTCCCTCTGAACCAGTCTGACATATGTTTACGAAACAGGACCATTAGGAAGTTTACGTTCGTTGAAACTATGTAGCCAAATAAATAGTAGGGATAGAGAGGAACTCTGATTTCCTCACGAATCTTTCAGTATTACTGAAATCTTCATAATATTTTTGAGTTACATTATTGCTGGTTCGGATGCGAACTAGTCAACATCGTCGCACAGCAATCATAACGCGGTATGAGTCCAACGCCTAATTTTACCACTTTTTTAAAGCCTTATATTTCTGTAGGTATGCTGATTTTCAAGTTCCTACAGTTCATCTTTTAAAACCGCAACTTTGATGATCTAGCTTGAAAATTGGTTGGTTTGGAGAGGATTTTAACGATTCAGCGGTACGATACTTCAAAATTTTACGAAAATTAGCACATCCAATGAGACCAACAAACAAAAAATTACATACAAAGTAAGTGAAGTAATCTGAGATACACTTCATATCACATTCAAATTCTCATTTTACTGAACGAATAACAAGGCGCTTTGAGGAAATCTTACTGTAGAATAGCCTTTTAGTTATTTAGAACTGAAATTCATTTAATGCTCAAATCATGAACAAAAACTCGTAACAGAGCTAGGAGTTCAATGGAAATCTCATTAGTAGACCTTCTTTGTGATCAATATTTATACATTGCACATTATATATAATATAATAGTGGTCCTACTTATTGCTCTAAATATGTCTACGCTCGTATGGGGTACTCAATAAGTATCGCAAATACCGCACTCATGCTATCCCTGTTGGTTTTCTGTGGCATTCGGTTCTCAACAGCTATATCTTCCACTTCTACCTTCCATGACTCATAGAGTTGTTAAGGTGTCAGATTCTTCTGAAACCCATTCGTGTCGGGAACAGAGGGTTACGATCATCGATCATACGACGCAGTTCGTTGTGCAAATCTTCTAAGAAAATCAACAGTTCTTGTCGATTACTGCATTTAAAGGCCCCTTTGCGAAGATTGAGATCATTACTGGATTCTTGTGGGTATTCTAATGCGTTCCTATTGTTGTCATGGTTCTTAAACAGAATTTTGCGAAGATGTTAAATAGTCTTAATCAGCGAAAGAAGCAAATTGGAACGAATCAGACTATCACCATCACGTACTCTTCACTTTTGAAAAGGAATCAGAAACCATTTGTTAACATACAAACGGGATCGCTTCCAGTTTTTAATTCGACGACGATTCACACTGAAAACAGTGAAAATAGTCTGCGTCTTGCTTCATTCTGTCTACAAATCACTAGTGGGCGGAGTTATCGTCGGGGGGCGGAGGTAGTGTTGCTCCGAAAGCTTTGTCGCACTGGTGTTCGGAGGATAACTTGTCACGAAAACGCTTTGCACTAACCTTGCCGAGGGATAAGGCTCTGCATAAGTCAGCAGGCACCACAGGCCGCTGCTGGCTAATAGCTTCCAACATATGCCTTGTGTATGCTTTACCCTACCGTCAATAGCTTTTTTCAGGGTGTATGTCGTTTGGCGCGGTTCCTCCCGGCGTGCTGCCCATTCGACATGCTTTGTGAGCTGAACAACTCGTTTAGGTGATTCAACCTCCTAACCGTGCTAATCGGGCAACCCACGTCCCATCCAGCTGTTAGAAGCCTGACGCACGCCGCGTCGGGTATGGGTACTTACATGCGTCCGAGGATGCGCGCGGCAAATTGCGCGGCGAGGTGCGTGGTGATTCGAACGACTCTGGCGCCTAGCATTGGGGCTCAAACTCGAAGTAGAGTAGTTTAGTAGGGTCAGCTGATACTACTGATCTACTCTACTTCAAATTTGGGCCCCAATGATAGGCGCCAGAGTCGTTCGTATCCCCA